CAGGGTCAGCAGGCTGTTGGGCCAGCGGCGTTGAGCTTGGGCATCCGATGCCGGTGCTATTGTAGTAAATCCTCTTCCGGTCTTTAATGCCTTGGACTCCTTCACTGGACGAGCCGTGCCGGATAGTGAGACGAGGTTGGCAGGTGAGATTTGGGAAGGATGATGAGTAAGGTACAGCCGACACGGCTGCCGCGACGAGATGCGTGTGAAGGTCCGCATCAAAATAAACTCCTAGACAGAGATTCTATGATATAAACATGGCGTGGGAGCCAATTAAAGTCAAATGGGCTGTCGGGACCTGACGCTCTACGGCTGTAAGTCGCTCGTTCGAGATATTCCAGAATCGCGCGAGAAAACTTCACGCAACATGGGCTGCACGTGACCGCCACCGCAACCAGCTCAGGGGCAACCAAACAAACAAATGCGTATGGTTTCACAGGTAAAGGTAGAGGACGGTGTTGTTTGATAAGTAAATGCCAATTTTACGTATGAATACAAACAAAACAACTCAAGAAATTAAGCGACAACCAACAGCTTGTCGATGTGCCAAAAAACGATAACGCCGTAGATGCAATGCATGCTGTGTCCTCCCAATAAGTCCCTACTATTATGCAACGTAAAATGTCTTCATATCCATTTCAAGTCCTCCTCTCAGACAACAGTATTTCCGTTCACTCCTAAAAAGTTGTTCCATGTGCACTGGCAGCCGCCCGTGCCGCCGTCGGTGCCGCCAAAGGTCGGGTTTGTCCCATGGTTAATGAGCGTGCCACCAAATGAAAGATTGTCAATGATAGATGACGCATTGGTCAGCTGGATTTGTTGAAGGCCATTGATAGCGCGCGCAAAAACGCCCTTCTGCGAGAAGTCACCACCGTGCAGGTCCTCGGTGATGCTGATTGGGTATGGGAACGTGCCGGGCTGTGTGGCATTGCTGCCCATGTTGGTCGACGCGGCACTGGTGTTGAGCAGCTTCGTCGTGTTTTCCATGCGGGTCCAAATTTGTACCAGGAACCGCGTTTGCAGCCAGGTCACAATGTGGTTGGCGTCAACTTCGAGTGAGCCGCCATTGGCGTCACTAGCCAGCGGGCTGGAGTCGGGCGCGATGGACTGCACGTAAATGGTCTTGGAAAAGTACGAGTAGAACCCTAAGTGTTCCGTAGCCAGACCCCGGTCGAAGAGGCGAAGAGGTTGCTGGATTGGCAAAGGGTGCATCACAGCCGGCGCGCCTGTACCGTCTGCGTTGAGTGACGGCAGCGGGAAGCCGTCGGCAGCGGTTGGTGTTGCGTCACGGCGACCCAAAACTGTGTTGGGACCGGCGGCGGTAGCATTGACAGAGGACAAGAATGTGATGTAAAACGGCGTCGGCTCGCCAGCCTTATTGTTGGCTACAATTCCATCGGTTGTATTGCCGAGGAACCACAACTCCTGGAACGAAGGCGGTGCGGGTTGCGGCGTAAACCCAGCATCAAACTGCTCGGTGGTCGCGGTGGTCGTGGCCGTGGCAGTTGCTTTCCCTGTAGCAGAGAGAATAGGTGTCGGGATGGTTCCGGCTGGGACGTCCCATAGCTTTTTTGCGCCGTTGTCGAACTGGATATCAAGGAAAAACGATGGCTCATCCCCGGAGAATGCCCCGTTGCCGGACTGCTGCTCTTTGGGAAGCGTGCAGCTCCAAAGCGACGTTGGGGATACGCAGCCTGGCTTGTTGACGGCGTTGTCCGTGCCAATGACAGTCGCCACACCAGTCGGGATAGGTGGGAATCCAGTGATGTTGAGCCAGATTGAGGACTTTTCTGCAGGCGCGGCATGCTTCTTGGACAGAGTAACGGCCAGTACAGTTATAAGAGCGACCAAGAGGACTAAAGTGCCAATAACGGCCATGCAGATAAGACGGTGGCGTCGCCGGGTCTCACGACCACCCTTGCGACCAAAGCAGCCACTGTTTGGTAAGCAGCCACGCCCTCGCCACAAGCTACCCGCACGCATGACGGCTGCATCTTCCTTCTCATGCCGGCGCCGAGACCGCTCGACTTTGGTGGCTGCTTCGGACGCCACCATTGCGGTACCTGGAAGAAGTGCGCCCGATGGCCGGGTAGGCAGTGGAGTGCCAGCGGCGGCGGCGGCGCTCCGCACACCAGCAGGTGTCAAAGGCACATCGGACATGTGGATGCCACCCTGCGATGTCATAGTATGTGCCAAGCCGGGAGACACTGGACCAGGAGAAGGTGGAAAATCCACACGCAGAGGGTGACCCGGCGGGAATACAGCACGATACCGGACCGTCATTTCGGGCCGCGACGGTGGCTCGTAGGGTGGGGGAGCTTCGGATGGTGTTAGTCGACCCCGGTCGCCACGATCAGACAGCACACTGCGTCCGGTCAATGGCGCCGCGTTGGTTTTTTCGGATACCTGGACAATTCTGGGCGTGAGACGAGGAGTAACGACACGCTGTGCAGGCGCAGGCGCCGCAGATCGGGAGGACGAAGCGACGGTCGGCGAACGCTCATTGACACGGTAGAAATGGGAATTGGCAATGGAGGTGGAGATGCCCAGAGCGGGCTTTTGTGCCTCAGTGGACACGGCATTCTTTTCATCGGCGGTGCTTCTCTTCCACCATTCTTCCTCCGGTGTCAGAAGGGGAGAGATGGGTGTAGTAGATGTGGTTGTCGTTTGTGCAGGTAAAACAGTGCTTGTAGGCGGTAGAGCAGGAACTGCAGGGATCACGTCCCTGGCGTGCAGAGATGCTGCCGACAGAGGCGACTTGGCCGATGCTGGTGTAAGAGGTGAAGAAGCCTTTGCCATGAACGAGTGTGCCGCTTGCTCCGTAAATGGGGTCTGTACGTGGTCCCACCACCCCGAGCGTGTAGTGTCAACTGTATTTGCCATTGACCGGACATGGCGACCGCGAGACCTGGACAGTCGATTGTACGATGCCGGGCTGCCGTCCTCTTCAAAAAGCGTAATGGGCGTGTCGTTGTCAAAATCATCCACGTCGTGGAGACGTAGGCTGTCGTGTCGTGCCGACCTATCATGGCTTGCCGTTATCGTGTTTGTTGGCGCGACTCCCACACCAAGTGCGTCACGGTAGGCAGATGGCAGGCTGGGAACAGGTGGGGCTGGCTGTGCAGTTGCAGATTGACCAGTGAATTGGGAGTAGATACTGGATGCAACACGCGAGGTAGAAGCACCGGCGCTGCGTGGCGAGCCCTCCTCGGTATCCGGCGACCAGACCGACTGCATTGGCGCCTGCGGCGACAACGTAGACATCTGATTGAGCTGCGAGTTCTGGGCGGTGGTGCCTTTACCATGGTATATTGGGATATTGATCGGAGTTTCGATGGTGGCAGTCTGTGGGCTGATTGTGCGGCCCACGAGGTCGTCCTCGGGTAGGCTGATGCCAATGACAATAGGGCGATCATTGGGAGAAAGGTCCTGTCCATGCTCGACAGCCGGTGAACCAGACTTGCCGTTTTTGTTGCTGTTTCCGTTTCCGTTGCTGTTGGCTCTTCGCCTCCGCCAGTGCCAGTTGCCAGTGGACGACTCAGACGGCTTGCCTTCAAGGGCGAGGAGAGCGGCCGCATCGACGAATTTTCCGGGTCCCGAAGGGGGTTGTTGCTGTTGCTGCTGCTGCAGTTGCTGTTGCTTGCGCAGTTTGCTCATGTCAGTGACCAGGCGGATGCCGGCCTTTGCGTTCTGCGCCTTTTGACGGGCACGCGACTTGAGCCGGGACGGATTCGGCCCCGTATGGTGTGCGGGAAGTACGACGGCGGTCGACATTGTGGTACTTGTTCGAGAGCGTCTGGAAGAAAAGGTCCTGGTTTTGGTCATGGACGTTGGGTTGCGAGAGTCGGCTGGTGTGTCGGGCGCTTCTTCTATTGTTGCAAGCAGTGGCGGATACTCGCCACGAAGGTCGTCGAGCGGCTCGTCACGGCCGCCAGGGATCTCCTCGTCACAGTCGCTATCCCAATCCTCCCATTCCTCGCGGTCAGTCGATGTCTCGGCGTGGCGGTGGCCGCTGCCGAGGTTTTCATGGGTTCTATGGTTGCCATGGCTGGCTTGCTCGTCATGGTCGTCAAAAGGTGTATGAAATGGATTCGGTTGTAAGGTGCGTAGGTCGTTCATCGTTGTGTTGACGTGGGAGCACTGGGCTCACGAAAAGGGGAAAGAATGAATGGTGGTGTGTATATATGATGCAATGGCTCTGCCAGAGGACCAGTTCGGTAATGTGTCCAGTTTAATGATGCTGGAAAATGGAGATGAAAAAGGGATGCAAGTGACAAAAACAAAGCAAGGTTTGAAATGAGATGCTTTTTGGAATACGGTGAAATCAGAGGACAGAAAAAGAAAACGAAACCGTCGTCTCCTGACAGAAATTCGAGTCAGGATCCTGAATGAGGTCTCGTGGTCGAGCAAGGCTATTATTGACAAGAGGATGCGGAGGGGTTAATGTTATTGTTCGTGAATAAAGGCGGAGAACAATAAAACGTGACAGCATCCAACCACACCACCGCGTCACTCGACAATAGACAAAGACCAGCAACAAAGGAACTGTGCCAATGGAAGAAAGGATGGCAGAGAAAAAGAAAAGAGGACAAGAAAGGAGGAAGAGTCGAAAGGGCGGGAAGAAAGAAGTGACGAAAAAAGAGTGTCGGAGAGTCGGATCGAGTCAGGGAACGGATAGGAGGGAGAAGGAGAGAAAGACTGGGCAATGCGAAACGTACGACTTGGAAGTGTAGCACACAAACCAAATGCAAGAAAGAAAAGATAGAAAGAAGAAGAAGAAACGCTTGGAGAAAGACAGAGAAAGAGAAAAGAAGGAGAAGAAGACGAGGCAAAACATGTGTGTGTGAGAATGAGGCCCAAGGGGGCGGCCAAGGCCAAGAACCGCCCAGCTGCATGCTCCTGCCATTGTCATGAAGCTGCTTTCCAAGAATGGGAAGTACGATTCTGGGAAGTAGAGAATCCTTGCTGGCCAAGCAAAGCAGCCGATTTAATTCGTCCGCATGCCACAGAGCTTTTTTTGGCAGGTGGCTGTCGCTCTTGCTGCTTCCTATTTTGGTGTCTGCAAGGGTCCCGCAGCATTTGGCAGGAGCGACATCTACGAAGGGAAATATCAACGTGCCGAATGTCCCAAAGTCCTCGCCGTCCCACGGCGACATCAGACAGCAGCGACAAAGAGGATTCGCCACCGCACTCCCAGGAACAGGTCTAAAGAGGGCTTTCCTGAGCCGCTTGCCACCAGAAGCAGCGAACGCGACGCGCACTCCTATTGTGCAGGCGGAAATGAGATTCTCCCAAAACGACAGAGTCATGATCGCGTCTACGAGGACAGTCTAGTTGTCGACACTGCGAGAGGTTGAGACGTCGAGGCGCGAGGAAGCTAGCCGAGCCAAACGACGTTGGGATGTCTGAAATAAGCGCCCTACAACAGTGGGCGCGCGCTATCATTGGCCGCTGTGTAGCCGCCAGCGTATTAAAGCTGGGGCTACCAGCACCCTCCCAAGGATTCTCGGGACACTTGTGCCTACCCGAGCGGCTGATTGGACTGCAGCATCTCATACCAATTTTCCTTTTGGTTGCAACTAGGGACGCAGGCGACAATACTGGTGGAAAGCCCACATTGTTGGCGTTGGCTCATTCCGTGCGAGTTCCTGCTCCTTGCGATGCATTGCCTCATTGCCCTTGCTGGCCAACGAACAGGTGACGGTCCACTTTATCCGGGCGTCTACCTACGGAGTACGACATATATTGTGCCTGACGCCGTTGTCTCGGTTCTTGGCGATTCCGAATCCTCAGGAAGCGCCGCCTTCCAGGGTGCATCCGCCCCGTCTGATTCCGGCCTCAGATCGTGCTGGGGGGCTGCAGCTTGTCGTGCTTCCATTGCTTTATTGGCTTGCCATAGGTTTCTGTGCGCCTTTGCAAATCGCCGGTTCCTTCGTCATGGCTGGCTCTCGTGTTGTTACACTGCTCTCCTCATGCGACCACCTTGTGTCGTATTGTCTTGCATCTTACAATAGCTTTAAGTTGCCGGTACTCTGGGAGTTTGGCTGTTTGTCGGTGATTGCATGAATCGACTCCAGGGCCATGGGTAAACAAATTCTCAATCATGGTGGCTGTAGCGACGATATGGGGGCCAGCCATGGCGATGCACAAAATGATCTTACTCTATTGTTCTACTCATCTAACTAGCTGTATGAGCCGCTCGGCTTTCTTTTGCACGCAAACCTGTCGGCCAGCAGTTTTGAGAGTGTCTGACTCGCTAATACCACGCAAGTCTCCTGGAGTGGTCTAGATCCGAATCGTCCAGGTTTGCTTAGGCCTATGTGATGTGCACAAGTCCCGTCTTGGCGACCGCTGCCAAGGAATGGCCAACAGTGACAAGTGCCCCAAAGGCCTTCTTAGGCCAAACCCAGTTTACTGACTGCAACGTCGACTCTCAAAACGTCGCAAAAGCATACCGACAACAGAGGGCAACCGGGCCGTCGGCACATGCGAGTCTCGAATCGTCGACGTCACAGCGTTTTATGAGCTGGAAAGCGGACCTCATCCTCCTTGACAGTCTACCTCGCGGCCCAATGATCCAGGACGGTAAATCGCGCAATTGTTTTTTAATACGAGGCTGCAATCTTACACAACAAACAAAGCAAAAAGGGCATCGGAATGGATTTGGATATGTTGATTGTCAAAAGAACCTTACGAACGTCGCTCCAAGAGCATCATCTCTTTTAAACTGTCGGAACTGATCTAGCAGCAGGCGCACTCCTCGCTGCAGCCGCAGCAACCACACTCCTCAAAGAAACCACCGCGCATCGTCGCTTCTGGCTGCATCTCGGGCTGCGCCTGGAGTGACTTTTTGAGCGTTAGTAAAGACAGAAAACAAATGCAATTTGATGCCAAGATGATGCCAAGATGATACCAAGCTGTGCCACGAGGGACGATGCCGAATATACGTACCGGCTGCTCGGTGACAATGCTGTCATCGGCGTTGACAGCCATGGGCTGCTGCTGCTGGGGAGCGTCGGTGGAAGGCATGTTGAAGGATTGGTTTTGGAAGAAATATATCAGCTCTTGGCAGTTTGCTGCATAAAAGAAACAGTCGAATGTGTGAGTGTAGGTATTTCTAGAGTTGGTTTGACAACAAACAAAAGTAAGGTGAAGAAAGAGAAAAACGGTGCGACGAGATCCGGAAAGTGTGCTCCTTTTTATGTACAGCTTGAGCTTGAGTGATGACGGCTATTTGTCACTTCCCCTCTGTTTTCCTCTTTTCCCCTCTACATCCAGTTTTGCATTCAGGAAAACCTGCTGCACAGCGGGAAGGGGACCACTCGTACTGGCAGGCGGAGGGAGAGTGAGGAAAGGAAAACGATGGCAACGTGGACCATTGAAGGAGCCCAGACCACGGTTGCCCCTCTTGACACGTACGTTGACCTCGCCGCTCTGACTTGTCTTCCCTGTAGAGATGCAACATGGTTCCGGAGTTGCATTTGGGACCGATTGCCTCCCTGACTCGCTCATCTAGACGCACCTGCAAAGTGTGGTGTGGAGCTCGGTGCATCCTATGCTGCAAGGTCATACCCAAGCATAAACACCGTTACGACCCTGTCACGGAAGCTGACCACCTTCGTACACGCATGTAATTTGCCGGTAACACGTAAAGAGACAGCAAGGAAACCAGAAGCCAAAAACGCCACCCCAATTTGAAAACAGAACGCCCAGGTAGAGGAAAGCTTGTTTTGTCCCGTTTTAGGTGGCGACGATTTGGGAAAGGGATCATACAAGAGAGTCCAATGTAAGAAGCAAGGAAACTCGGTTGTAGAAGCAACAGCAAACGCATAGAGTCATACGCAAACTGGTTAGAGCTTGATGCGGTGTTGTTGTCCCCTCGTCATAGGCGTGTTTTAGAAAAGCGGGAAGCGCAGACAGGTATTTCGTACGTCAGAGTGAAAAGGCCTGCTCACGCAGCATGGCTAATTTTGGCTACGTGAATGAATGAACGGTGAAGACTTCTGCCTTTGCCCTTTCCACTTTCAGAAAAGCACGGTTCGGCAATTTTAGACAAACAAGGAAGGACGTAGCAGGACTAAGAGGCATGCTGGCCCAGAAATGGAAAGTGCGAGGCACAAAAGCCACAACGGGACTCATTGAGCGAAGCGAGCGAATGCAAACCCATTGGAAAGGATGGCTTTCTCAGCAAACAAGAGCCCGAGGCAGCTTCATACTTAAAACCTGCGACAAATTTCTCCGGTGAGGCAGAAGTATTTGGTTTGACATTGGCCAATAAAAAGTAAAATAATAAAAAAACAAGAGAGGGAGAGAGAGAGAGACAAAGAACAGATGACGAGCAAACAAAAAACGTTTATGTGAAAACAAACTAAAATTGGCGATCGAAACGAAGTCACTCATTTTCTTCAACCATGCCGCTGTTTTTGTTTCCAATAGATTCACCTCTATGTACGACTGGTGTGACAATATCTGAACTGTTTGTATTGCATTCCATTTGTTTGCCTCCAGTACAATACCCTTACTTGCTTTACATATATGCTAGCAGCATCTGTTCTTCGCTCTCCTTGTAACAACACATTGAGGGACTATGACGTCGCGCCGTTCTGGACTGTACCATAGAAAGACCGAACACGGCTGAGGGTCCGACACAAGAACTTTGCATAGAACACGGTCTAGAGTCTGACGAAAGAACGTTAAATAGTATTTCCCGATGCGACGGCCGGCCGCTGTAAGAGGAGGTAGCCATTTCTGGCTAAACATGGCCTCCCAATTTTTCTACAGGAAACGACGGACGTGAGATTCTAGAGATTATCCGCTACACAGCACATAAGACCATCGGGAGCAAGGATGGCAGAATGTGGAGATCGGGTCCGGTTTGCATCTTATACCAGGCGGAACTAAGCAGGCAGCTGTTTACCTCCGGATCCGAGCTCTCCTTCGTGTATGCAACGGTAACTTGCCATCTAGGTATGGGTCAGTAACAGCTTAAGAGTGTTCTCAGTAAAACGAAGGCAATTATTGCCTTGGAATGGAAGTCCTTGAAAGCAATGCAACGTCAGGTGGTCTTGAATAGTCTTCTGTGAGTCTCTGACACAGTTGGAATCAAGTTTGATACGCTACGTACAGCCCCTTTTCTTTACCTTCTTGCATATTACGCCCAGTGACAGCGTGACCATACTGGTGGCAGTACTATTTTAGACCTCCAAACAGAATAATCCCAATCGCCTATCACGCCGCTTATGTCCACGACGAATGGCTGGTTATCGCTGGGAGACATAGTAAGGATGAGTAACATGAGATTTCGTTGAGATGACTATATAATATCTTCTTATTGTGGGGTATTTTGACGCACGAAATAATTGTCGTTGTTGTCTAATCTTAAATGGTTAATTTTCGCTCAGTTTTTGGAAGAAAAAAGAAGGAAATCAGGTCTTAAGGTTTTTTTTTTTTTCATACACAGTTTACATATATATTTTAAAAACAGACGACCTAAAAGGCGGCAAATGAATATAAATCACTCCAAAGCAGTCTCTTGCCTCGGCGAGTACTACATGAAAAGCCGATATGCAAAATGCAGTGTAATATGTGCGTCGTCGGACACCGGAAAGGGCCGATGACGTTGTGACGTCAACATTGTTCTACTTACACTGAAGCCCAAAATATCGGTCCTTACATCGTACAGCCCAAAATACATTGTGAGATGTCAACGACGAATTAACGATATCGCAAGCTTTGCTTCAGTTTGCGTCTGATTTAGTTTAGATGTCATGGGCTGACGCAGTCCACCTGCTATTGGGCATGACTTTTTGCTGCCACTGAACACACACCAAAAGTTTACACCGCGGGACGTTAGAGATCTTCAGGGCCCTGGTCTTGCTTATTGGTCACCGGCTTGCAGTTGGCAAATCCGAGACCAATTCAGTCACATGACCTGTCATCGGCTGTCGAAGTTTAGCGTCGCCGTTAGCTTCCACTTTCGTGGCTGTTGGTTCTAAACTCTACCTCGTACCTTTGCGTTATTGTACATTGCCAAACCAGAATTTTCTCTCTCTTTTTCATCAAGACAATGTCAAGAAAAATGATTAAAAACCTTGTTCCACTTGGGACCTTTCGATCGCCTAACATATCGCATCACTTCCGTCAAAATCTCTACTGGCCAAATATGGTCCTAATTACAACCCCCTTTTTATCGAAACCGACGGACTCTTCCACTAGGGCAAGCCGTCAACAACCTGCTTTTGCTTTTTATCCCTTCTGGCCAGGAATACCCAGTTGTGTTGTAGACCTTGAGTTGTCTGACGTTCGTTTGCTTTGCCTCCATCTGCCAACTTGAAGGACCGACTAGAAGAAACGCTGTTTCGATTTGGCTGGCGAATGTTGGAAAGACTCGACGGGATCGACACATGGGCCAACTAGCCCACAACGACTCGGGCTCAAGGATCTCAAGTAATACGACCTACGAAGTGTGATTTTCCGGCTAGCGATACGCGGTGCTGATCTTGTAGCTGACGAGAGCGTCCTTCTCTGTCTCTACCGTTGTTCCCATCTCCTACGTAGTCCGGAATGGCATTTTAAGAAAGCTCGCTTTGGTTTCATGAGAACTTGCCACCTGACTGATGTTATGGTCATCGTTCTGGAAAAGAAGAGCGTTGAACTGGCTAAAAGTTAATATTCAAACAATGCAATAAACACTGTCGCTCTGCTTGCGTTGTGAACCGTGGCAGCAGGTTGGGTTATCGATAAAGGCTGGATAGGTCTTCAAACTACATTCGTATGTACGGTGTGGTACGACGTAGATCCCTGCGCTACCTCGTGGGACGTAGGCCTTTTTCGACATCCTGGCACGGCTGGTGCTGCCTCTGACGCGATACAGGGGCGTTAAGCGGCTGATCAAAAAGGGAAAAGAAGGAAAGGGGCTGCTAAGGAAAGAACAGGAAAATAGGAATAGGGGTGACAGAGGAGAGAGCCTACCCCTGGCTAGTGAAGGCCTGGCCGGGTCAACTTGTCTTTACGCACGCTTGCTACTTTAGTTTCCCTCTGTGGTGGTTTTGAGCCTTTGCCGTGGTGGCACTCTGTAAATTAAGCAGCTAAATAGCCACATTCATTGGCTGGCGGCTCTGTGCCCCAATGATTTTGTCACTTGTCAAAATCTCGATGCGGCGCTACGCCCCTTGCCCGTCTTCATCTCTACCCCTTTTTGCTTGCGTAGTGGGGAGAAGCTCAAGATGCAGGAAGAGCTCTAGTTGGTGAGGAAGGACCTTGGCAGCCAGGGCCAAATGGATCCTCACTTTTGTTTTGCTGTGCAGATATGGATTGGCATCTAGTTCCGCAGGGACTAAACCGCCATATACAGATGAGCATATCTGTACCGAGTAAATACATTGCTAGAGACGGAGCCTTTTTCCGTGGTCATTTAGGCGTGGGGCCAGCAGCAGTGTAGTCATTGTTTATCGCTCTTGTCAGAATTGACGATCGAGAAAAGAAGTAGCTGGAAAAAGCTTCCTCGAGAAGATGTCATTTTGCTTACTGTGTTTTGTTGTGGCCCGTTTTCTCCATCTCCTCCATCTACCTCATCTCCTTTTCAAGACTCAAGATACAAGTGCCAGTCATTGATGCGCTCCAGAGCTTTGTGTGGCACTGTGATTTCTGTGCATAATTTGGCTCAGTATGGTCTGTGTTGTGTGTTTGTTTGCCAATTCTATGCCAATAATTCGGCACCCACTTTCAATTTCCCCTTCCGCCAACCGAGTGGAGCCTGGACCAGCATACAAAAGATGCAATGCAGATTCTGGATCGCCAGAGGTAAAATGAACAAAGGGAACAGAACACAACAACGAAAAGAGGCCAAACAAGAGGGTAAACACCGACGAAAAGTACGACCTGTCCTTTCGTCAGCTAGCGGCGATAGCTGATGATCATCAAGGCCGGATGGCTAGATTGCTAGATAAATGTACCTGATACGACGTAATTACTCCGTATGTCGTATGTCGTATGTCGTATGTCGTACACGGTCGAGATAGTCTGGTATCACTTCTTTTTTTTTTTTTTTAGGGGGTGGGATAATAGAGCCCGAGCGATTGAGAGGGACGAAAGGCTGATAACGAACTGATCGCGTTTTCGGTTTGATAATACTTCGTACTAGTTCACACTGTTAGACGGACGGAAAGGACAGAGTTGGGATGAACAAACCGCCTCGCCGCTACGACCACACAGGCCCTTCCCTGTCCGATTATAGTTCGGCGTTGAGTGGCTTGAATCCAGAAAACTTCAGTCTGAAGAACCGAGCTGGTGGCCCTTCGCCTTACTGCCGCCGCTTTAGGAGAAACGCTAGCCTGGTGTGCAAAGGCCCCTTCGAAGACGACACTGAAAGAAACAAAACAGACAGGGCTCCGAGGAGAAGAGTAAATAAAAGTCTTCCCAAAAGCCGCCGCAAAACGACCACAAGACATGGATGAGCACAACATGGGTGCGAAATATTCGCTGAACGCGAAAATAGGGGGCTGCATAAGGCGATGAGCACCGACCAGGTAAAGAGCGAATGCCAGTGGACCCGCCATAGCTGCCAATGATTTCCATCCACCGTATACGCCGTAATTCTATGCAGGAGCGTTGCGGCAAGAGCGACCAATGGCGGCAAATGCATGCTCCGTCACCGGGCGGTTCCTTCTGTGCATAAAATATCGTCGAGGGCAATTCGTTGCATGTTTTCCTCTTTGCACCGTCACGTCTAGCCAACCAGAGAGCAGGAAATCGAGAGCAAAACTGAGAAAAGCCTAACAGGGAGAGGGGCTGCAAGACGGATAGGAGCACGAAACAGCTGTCCAGTAAATCGTACGAAATATATTATTCACTCTACGAAGTACATAAACGGCCCGTAGGAAATAGCGCGAGATAACGACATGTTGGCGTTTCCACACCCCCATTTGCTGCTCCTTTGGCAGGAACGAACCACTGTCACACACACGCCCCAACGTGCTTCCATCTCCCAAATTGCGACAAGGAAGAGCAGGATTGAACAATAAAAGGGAAGGAGCGAGCCGGTGAAAATTGTAAAAGGGGGAAGGAACGCAGAAAAATGCACGTAGAGGAGATTTCCAAATCATCAACGAGCTTCCACTTCGCAAGCCATCTGCATCTTTTCTTCTTTCAACTCGTTATTTTCACCCGTATCTTTTCGTATTGCTCACGTCCCCCGCCAGCCACCTTTGTCGGACTTTTGGCACACTCGACCTTTTTTCCTTACTAGCCTCGCAACCGACTAAGATCAGGCTGCACACCAAACCGACCAAAAATCACGAGATACGGAGTACGAGACGCACGAATACCACGCCGAAAACGAGTAACGCAAACAGCCAGACTCCAGACAATTCCTTGACAGGCTCTTCGCACTGCTCAGCCCTTTTCTGTCCACGGCTGTGACCCTGACCCCCATACAATCCTGCCTCCGGACCTCCTCTGGAATTGCTTCTTGGCTTGACCCTCTGGCTTAATCCTTCCCATGCATCTCATTGTCTGACCGCGTCTGCCGTTTCCGAATCCCTTTCTTAGCTGTTCTCTTTTCCCGACAGCGTGGCTGTTTTACCGTGCCTAATTACCTGACCGCCACACCACCGAGTATGCTCGTCACCTCCATCGCTTGACTGACAGCTCACCACCCATCATCCCATCCCTCCTGCTCGTCCATCCAGGCGATCTACCGATCAGATCAGAGACAAGGACGGCACCAGTTGAGCTGAAATTGCCTCCTGCGAACGGCCAGCCAATTCTCCTAAAATCTCCCCAAAGTCTTCCTAGCGGATACACGAGCCCCTCCAAAACGAACACGGGTTGGTAGTGGCAATTGTACCGACTCGCCCGTGCCTAGTGCCAAAATAACAAAACCGCAGGGTCCAAGACGTTGAGAAAAAAAACTTGGGGAACGATTTTTGGCACTTGTTTTCCAGCGCATGATTCTGTTCTTGTCCTCCCGCCAAACTCGTGTCCTTATCCATACCACCTTCACCAAGTCGCCTTCGCTCGCTATACGAGTATCCCCTCCACCCTTCCCTGACCGTTTTGGAATTGAGAGCTTTCGTTCCTACCTACCCTGGTTTAGTTTTCATCATCATTTTGTCCTCTCTCCTCGTTTCCTTTGTCCCCGTTCCATCTCCTTTTCCTTACTCCCTTATCCATTTGTGATCAGTTTGGCCTGTCAAGTGCCATTCTGGTGACGTGGACCATAACAACGACCAACCTGGCTTCTTCAACACTTTCCACCGCGTCCTCCTCTTCCTACAGCGACCGACCACGGACGCACCGCCGCCGTTCATCGAGCATTGGTCCTCCGTCGCCGCTGTCGTTGGACGGTCACTCGTCGCAACACTTGGGCGTGAATGCCCGTCAACCGCCCCTCTCACCAATACCCGGTATGTTACCTACATTCCAGTCTACCACAACTGTCTCAAAACAACGAGAGACAACGAGAGACAACGAGAAACAGCGCCAAATCCGGCCCTTGTCTCTGCTTCTGTGCTCCTGTTTGCGCCTGCGCTCTGCGACTGGTCGCGGTAATGTTTTTACGCTTCCGGAGGGACACACAAGGCTAACTTTTTCTTCTGCTCTGTTCTGTTTCTGTTTGCCCCCTCGATTAGGTACGCCGAACATTAACATGTCTCTTTCGCGGAGTCCCTCTCCAAGCCCCGACGGCGGCTGGTCCAGCCCTGGCCTGAACATCAACGGAAGCGGTCGTTCAAGTCCATCCAAGTCGTACGGCGACTCACATGGCGGCTCATCCCTCCATTCGCGCAACTCGGGCGCAAGCAAATACCCATCCTTTGCCACACAGAACCAAGGCTTCTTCACCAGACACATGCGCCAACTCTCGAGCAGTTTACCACGCTTCAACGCGAACACCCCGACGTCGCGCGCCTCATCGTACTCTGACAAGGACAAACCAAGAGGGCGGTGGGAATTTAGCAAGTCGTCGCTTCTCGGACGCGTGAAACTCTTTTTTGCGCACATGGGACGCACAGCGAGAATCCGCTGGGCCATCGTGCTGGCGTTACTTGCCGCGATATACATATTTTACCATTCCCGTGAGTGTTAAACCGTTATGCCCTTTTGTCTGCACGTGTTTCTCCGATGGTGCTGCTCTGAGCGGTGGCAATTTCGGCCAAAATGCTAACATGGTGATTCTTGCTGCAGCTCTTGTCTACTATTGGCGGAGAACAGCATGGCTGGGCGGTGGAGAGAAGTTTGTCATCATCCTGGCTGCAAACGTTGGCGGTGGTGTCATGGAATGGAAGGGCGCGCGCGAGTGGGCGATTGAGAGAGACAGCACACGAAACAAGAAGCGCTACGCCGCGCGCTGGGGCTACGATCTCGAGATTGTCGACATGAGCACGAAGAAACGCTACGCTCACGAGTGGCGTGAGAGCTGGGAGAAGGTCGATTTTATCCGGCAGGCGATGCGGAAGTATCCCAAGGCCGAATGGTGAGCACGCACTCTTTTTCTCGCCACATTGATTTGCTTCATACCCGACAAGTCTTAGTTCTAACGCCTACAGGTTTTGGTGGCTGGATCTCAACACATTTGTCATGGAGCCCTCGTACTCACTGCAGGACCATATCTTCAACGACCTCGAAAAGCATATCTACCGCGACATCAACGAGTACAATCCCCTCAACCTCACTCACCCCTTCAATGACGTATACCTCGACGACGTGTCACGGAGCACAGTCGGCAATGGCCAGGCAAACTCGGTCAACTTCATTCTGTCGCAGGACTGCTCTGGCTTCAACCTGGGCTCCTTCTTTGTGCGCAAGAGCGAGTGGACGGACCGTCTGCTCGACGTGTGGTGGGACCCTGTCTCCTACGAGCAAAAGCACATGGAGTGGGAGCACAAGGAGCAGGACGCCCTGGAGCAGCTCTACACGGCACAACCTTGGATCCGCCAACACGTGGCCTTCCTGCCCCAGCGCATGATCAACAGCTTCCCCGAAGGCGCCTGCTCGGAGAATGGCAACAACACGCGTTTCCATTACGAGCAGAATGACCGTGATTTCCTCGTCAACATGGCTGGCTGCGAATGGGGCCGCGATTGCTGGGGCGAGATGTACAACTACCGTGAACTCAGCTACTACCTCAACCGTTCGCTGTGGGAGCGGTTTAAGGAGGATCTACTGTGTGCCGCCTGGTTCAAGTTGACGGGCCAAAAAGTCAAGTTTTGAGAGACGGGTGGCCAGCTTTAGCTACACACACTACCTGTGTCGCTCATCCCATCCTATATTGTTCACGTTAATACGATCTTGACGACCTACCGCGTTTCTTCTCTCGGGCATTTCGACAAAACTCCGTCTCTCGACAACTGCTGCGACCGAACACACATCCTTTCTCGCCCGTCACAAATCTCTTATCTATATACCACGACTATCTTTCACAATACCAGACGGTGCCTTCTTCGCCCTCCGATTACATATACCTCGCTTTGCAAGTTGACGATTTTTCATTTGCTTTTGCTTTGACGCCTTACTCCCCATCGTGGAGACGGCCCATGGGATAGATTGGTGAGGCACACCAGGATACTGTGCCTAGGACAAAGGGTCCTGAATCGCCATACCTCAAAACCTCGTTGCTGCATATTTTGTTATTCGCTTCTTAGCTCTTTCCCGCAAGCTTTCTGGTACACAGCTTCCGAGAAACAGATCCCCGTTAGGCCGTGTGTCCAGACTTTTTCTTGCACACACAGCGTTTGTCACAATTTTGGCACTTTTATACTTTTGACTTCTACTTCGACCTTTTGTTCTTTTCATTTTGCTTTTTTTTTGGCTTTTTTTGCCGATTCAAACATTGCGCTTGTGTGTTGATCGTTTACATTTGTTTACCGGTTCCTGTTATCTGGCTGCTTTCTTGGAACCGTTTCTGTGTCCCCTTCTTCGACTCTTTGTGTAATAACTCAAGTTTTACCAATTTTTTTCATATATGGGGAGGGTTTTACTACATTTGACGCACAATGGAGTATCGGCAGGATTTGTTGATTGCCTCATCTTCTCGCCTTTTCGTTCCCGTCGGAGCAAAATATAGATCATTTTGAAAACCAAGACAAAATCCACCACAGACTTATTTTGCTCAAATTTACTGTTGCATTTGCCTAACGAGTGGCGGAGAGTACATCATAAACGGCTCCCTTGAGGGGGCATGTGATCAACTGCGACAAGACTGAGAAACATTTCTGTGCGAGACGGGCGACTATGGGCCGAACCGGGGAGTTGTTGACTTTTACCGCCGCCCAATGGGAAGGCTGCGCGGACGAGCAAGTTTCGGGAGATCCGACCATGTGTGTTATGAAAAGGCTACATGACGTATCTGGAAAAGATCCCATCGAGTTCTTTGTGCCAAGAGACGCAGTCGGCTTCGTCGATCTCGTATGCCGTACTTGGGGAGCATGCAGCTCGAGGCAGCTCAAAAAACGTGGGTTTTTGACAGGTTGTATGGGGTAATTACGTTTTTGTACATTCACGTGAAAGTGACTTTGTTGTGCCTTGCACCAAACGCGTACCGTTTGCGTGTTGTATCACATGCGAGAAGAAGCAAGCATCATGGAGAATGGTTTAGGTTTGAACTTCATATGCAGGATATGAAATTTGAAAATACGAATAAAAATAAATATGTACAACAGAAGCGAAAATTGGCCATATATCAACGGGCACCCGGAAGCAGTCACGAATGTGTCAAACAGTCGACGCCGGCGGGTGGTGAATGGCAAAAGAAGTGAAAGGAAATAAAAGGGGGGCAAGAGAAGTGAAAGGGGGCGCGTAAAACAAGACAAAGACAACAAAACCTGCTGCCAACAAGTGTACAAAGAAGCCAACCCAAACCAAAATGCTCTTTGTACTCAAAGAGAAGTATTGCCAAAACATAATAAATAAACCAAGGCAGAAAGTTTCTCAGCGCGGGGAGAGAAAATGCAAAGGGTATGCAAGCCACAACAAATCTGAAGCGAGAAAAAAAACAGCACTCGCAGAGGCACTTTTGTACAGAAACCAGAATGCATGAAAGCAAAGTGCAAAGGGTCTAGGGTATTATGAAGGGAAGATTTCTGGGTAAAGATTTGTGATGTGATGATGATGGGGAATGGGGATTCTAGGGAACGGTTAACA